CAGAAAAGTCAGTGAGTTTGTTCTTTTCCTACTTCCGTTTCGGATCGCCTGGAATATCCTATTGATGCTGAAATGGCGCCAGCTTGGCCGATTCACGTTCAAACGAATATGACACAACATTTAAACGAATGTGACACGATTACCATCGATTACCACCACGAATCTGACGTCACATTCATTTAACACAAGGTAGATGTACGCCAGACCACGTCTCGCGTAACAGGCTTCGCGATATCTCACGAACCTGTTACTCTGCGACGCGCCTGGCATACATCTACCTTGGCCTGCGGCGCTGACACCCGGGACGGGTAGTGGAAAAATGTACACGAAAGCACGGGCCTAGGGCCCGTCAACGGCCTATCAGTTCGACTAAGCATGCATGCTTGCACATTTTTTCGCTTATTTTCGTCAAAAATACGCTCTAGCGCCTCAACTGTTTCAGATAGAGCAAAACGGACAAACTTTTCGCCCTAAGGCCTCTACTTTGATGAGTTACTCTCTAGGAAACCATGAAAATTTTTTTTTAAAAAAACGTCATCTTGGGGACCTGTTGTTTTTGATTTTTCAAAAATCCAATTTTTCGGCTAGAATGCTCATCTTCGAACTCGACCTGTCTTTTCATGGTACAAAACGACCCTGAAAATCCCACGTCGCTCGCTCGATTCGTTCTCGAGTTATCGTGCGGACAGACAGACGTGCAGACAGACAGATAGAAAAAGTTTTTGCCGCCCAGACGAAGTAATAGGCTTCGCCAGTAACACTGTTTATCGGCATAAGTCCGCCGATTAGCTTTCTTGAAGCACAAGAGCGATCTCAGAAGAGGTTAATTTCAGTAGCCTGGACCTGGTTGTATCTTTTTACTACACAGGGTGCCTTTGTGAGACTATAAGTGACCCCAAAGACGTTTCTCGAAAATACTGCAATAGACTGGATCTAAGAACTTAGGGTTTTCAGGACACATGTCCTGGAATTTTAAGACACTTTCTTGAAACTGTCGCTGCGCGGGAGTAAGGAGAATAGCGGCAGCTTCGCTCTCTACAAGACATTGTCATACGCACTGTTAGGTGCTGTTAGTTTAAAGAATGCGGAACCCTTTCTCAAGGTTTGAAGCATGTTCTCTGTGACAGACCTATGTGCTTTATGGAATGGCCTGTTAGAGTTCTAAGAAAGTTTCACGACTCTTTCTTGTATATTGCAGCATTTTCAAGTAATTTGATTGAAATCACTTATAGTCTCTTATGGTTACGTAAGGTAATTTTTGACGTAAAGTTACATGTTACGCTGTGTAACTTGTAACGGCTGAGACTGCAATGCTACATCAGAGTAACTTTCGCGTTTACTGATTTAATATTCGCGGTTTCTTAAAACTGTTTTTGCGGCATTGATTTTGAAAGGAGGATACTAATAAAGCATTCCGGTAAAGCTGAAATGCAGAAGAATGCGGGGAAGAAGAAAACGGAAATCGCTATGCTTTAACATGGTGACTTCCGTTTTCTTCTTCCCCGTAATCTTCTGCATTTCAGCTTTACCGGAATGCTTTATTTCCCCGCCGCGCGCCCGGAGTGGGGTACCCTGTACTCACGTAGTCGTAATCCTAGTGCAACTCCAATTTGTCTCCCGCGTAACCTTAAAATCCGCAAAAAGGTCCTTTCGCAGCGTCAAAAAGGTCCTTTTGCAGCGTGTATCCGAATCATCATTCATGCATTTATTGGCTGAGCGATTAGCGAAGCCTATTACTCCGTCTGGTCGGAAAAAACTTTTTCTGTCTGTCTGTCTGTCTGTCTGTGTGTGTATCTGTCCGCACGAAAACTCGAAAACGAATTGAGCGAGCGACCTGGGATTTTCAGGGTCGTTTTGTATCATAAAAAGACAGATCGAGTTCGAAGATAAGCATTCTAGCTCAAAAATTGGATTTTTAAAAAATCGAAAACAACAGGTCCCAAAAATGACGTTTTTTAAAAATATTTTTTTTTATGGTGTCCTAAGGGGTAACTCAACAAAGTAGAGCCCTACGGGCGAAAATTTTGTCCGTTTTGCTCTAGCTCCAACCGTTGGGGCGCTAGAGGGTGTTTTTGACGAAAATAAGCGAAAAAATGTTCAACCCTGCATGATTAGTCGAAGTGACGGGCGTTGACGGGCCGGAGGCCCGTATCTTTGTGCACATTTTTGCACTACCTGACTCGGGTGTCAGCGCCGCAGGCCAAGGTAGATGTATGCCAGGCGCGTCGCAGCGTAACAGTG